AGCTCCGATATCAAACCGTACCACAGCTCATCGACAGCCTGTAGCAAAGCCCTTCTGACAGCTCTTACAACACACATGGAAACTGTTTTTACTCCAACTTACTCCACTGCGCTACGGAACCGTCAGTGGCCAATAGCACAGCGTCTTCACATTTGGTATGAGTGATTCTAATGCAGCTCTACATGCTATGCCACTGCGAAGATTAAGACGACGAGGATGGTTAGGAGGACGACGGAGAAGAGGATCGGGAGCAGGACGGGGAGGCCGAGGAAAGGGAGGACGAGGGGGAGGAGGAGGTTGAGGAGAGGGAAGAGGAAGGGTGGAAGCACGAGGAGGACAAAAACAACTATCCTGGCGAAGGGCCCAACCATATGCAGTTGTGAGTACCGCAACTGTGAGTGTCTTCTTCGGTGGCGTTCCCTATGGGGCCACGAAGTGTATGAGGGGTGTGCCGAAATGTGGCGGGGCACACGACGCACAGGAGTACGATAGGTCAGATTAGGAAAAAATGAACGCGGGCGAGTCAGAGCGCGAGGGAGTCTGAGCGTGAATGGGTCTGCGTGCGAGTGAATATATTTGCATGATGCGATCATGGCTACGCCTAATGTAAATGTATATGAATGTGAATGGCTCGAGCACGCCTGTCCGAACGCTCGTGACACTGGGCGCGGCCGCCGCAGGCAGCTTCCGCGGGAACCCCGACGGCAGCGCCCGCGCGCCGCGACGCCCATGTCGGCACGCCCCTTGCCAGGATCGCGCCCGTTTTCGTCCCTCCTTTCCCTCCCTCTTCGCCCGCGCACTCCAAAAATCCAAAGCTGCGGGCGCCGCGCAGCGCGGAGCCCCCGCGACGCGCGCCGGTCGCCCCAGGCGGGGCCCCAGCGACGCGCGCGGGTCGTCCGCTGCGCGGAGCAGAGAGAGCTGGCTAGCTAACTGGCTGGCTGATAGCGGGCAAGGCTCTGACCGCTGGGCAGAGCGACGACGGGCGAACGAGGCGCCGGGCAAGACGCAACACGGAGGTCCCGCGACGCGCGCCGGTCGCCCGGAGAGGGCCCCAGCGACGCGCGCGGGTCGTCCGCGGCGCGAGGACAAACAATTAGTCGGGCAGTCGAGAGAAGGCGCGGCTCGGGGGGGGCGCTCCTCAGGTCAGGCCTCGCGGATAAACTCGGTGAAGCCGAGCTCCCTGGCGAGGGCCGTCGCCCCCCTCCTGCGCCGCTTCGCGCGCGCCGCAAACTGCCCCAGCTGCTTCCGCAAGCCCTCAGGCGGTCCTGCCAGGAAGAACTCGAGGCGCGGCGCCCGCATGAGCGCGAGGTCCTCGTGGCGCGCGGCGCGCGAGAGCAGCGCGTAGAGCTCCAGCCACCAATCGTCGCCCTCCTTCTTGCCGCCCCCGACCTCGTGGCGGCCGCAGTCCAGGATCACGCCTGGGCGACGTCGGCCGAGGGAGCAGTGCGCCGGGCAGCCGACGGCCCAGGGCGAGAGTCCACAGGACCGAGGTCTAGCCGCGGACTGCTCGCGCCCCGGAGGTCTGGCCTTCCCCGGAGCTCCGTTCCCCCGGCCCGTCGCCTTCTCGCACGGCGCGCCACTGGCACGCCACCGTGGCGATGACCCTGCCGTGCGAGAACGGTTGGCCCGTCCGCGTGACCTCGGAGGCGCGGAAGGTGAACGGCCCCGACGCGCGGGGCTCGATGAACACCAGCGGGCCCACGAGGTCCCCCGTGAGGCTGTCGTCGTGGCGCTTCAGGTCGCCCACGAAGGGCGCGCTCGCGTACTTCTCCATGCGCACCCAGAACCCCAGCGGCAAGCGCTTCAGGTGGATCCTTTTCTCCCCTCTCTATCGGCTCTCTCGACGTCGTCTCGATCTCGAGGGTCCACGACGACGTGCACGATCTGCCCCTCGGCATCCTTGACGAGGCCGTTCTTGAGGTCGAGCGCTTCCAAGAGCCGGATCCGCATGCCCACGTGCACCGGGAGCAGCCCGTGCATGCCACCGGGGTTCTTCGGGTTGGCACAGTTCATCATCGTGGCGGCGCCCTTGGCGCTCATCGTCGGTGCAGACCTGTCGGCGGCTTGCACGAGGAAGAAGGGCGTCTTCAGGACGTCCGCGTCCCGCTGAGCACGCATGTTCATCCACCGCGCCACGGTGTCCCAGTAGGACCCGATCATGTGGCCGTTCTGGAATCTCTCCTCACGGAGCCGGCGATCATCCGGTTTCAGCTGCATGGCGTTCCACGTGGCCCGGATGGCCGAGGAAACGTGTGGGGGTGACGCATGTGGATGGTGGCACTGGGGCCTTCGGTGGAGCTCGCTATGGGGCCACGAAACGTGTGAGGGGTGTGCCAAAGTGGGCGGGGGTGACGCATGTGGACGATGGCACTGGGGCCTTCGGTGGAGCTCCCACGAAACGTATGAGGGGTGTGCCGAATTGGGTGTAGGTGACGCATGCGGGCGGTGGCACTGGGGCCTTCGGTGGAGCTCCCTGTGGGGCCACGAAACGTATGAGGGGTGTGCCGAATTGTGTGTGCGTGACGCATGCGGGCGCTGGCACTGGGGCCTTCGCTGGAGCTCCCTGTGGGGCCACGAAGCGTATGATGGGTGTGCCGAATTGGGTGTGGGTGACGCATGCGGGCGGTGGCACAGGGGCCTTCGGTGGAGCTCCCTATGGGGCCACGAAGCGTGTGAGGGGTGTGCCGAATTGGGTGCAGGTGACGCATGCGGGCGGTGGCACTGGGGCCTTCGGTGGAGCTCCCTGTGGGGCCACGACACGTGTGAGGGGTGTGCGAATTGGGTGTAGGTGACGCATGCGGGCGGTGGCACTGGGGCCTTCGTGGAGCTCCCTATGGGGCCACGAACGTGTGAGGGGTGTGCCGATTTGGGTGTGGGTGACGCATGCGGGCGGTGGCACTGGGGCCTTCGGTGGAGCTCCCTATGGGGCCACGAAACGTGTGAGGGGTGTGCCGATTTGGGTGTAGGTGACGCATGCGGGCGGTGGCACTGGGGCCTTCGGTGGAGCTCCCTATGGGGCCACGAAACGTGTGAGGGGTGTGCCGAATTGGGTGTAGGTGACGCATGCGGGCGGTGGCACTGGGGCCTTCGGTGGAGCTCCCTATGGGGCCACGAAACGTGTGAGGGGTGACGTGAGTGAGCATGCGGTGGCACAGGGGCCTTCGGTGGAGCTCCCTATGGGGCCACGAAACGTGTGAGGGGTTGCCGAGTGTGGGTGACGCATGCGGGCCACTATGGGGCCACTGTGAGGGGTGTGCCGATTCGGCTGTGGGGCCTTCGGTGGAGCTCCCTATGGGGCCACGAAAACGCAAACGAATGGGTGTGAGTGAGGTGGCACAGGGGCCTTCGGTGGAGCTCCCTATGGGCCACGAAACGTGTGAGGGGTGTGCCGACAGCGCATGCGGGCGGTGGCACAGGGGCCTTCGGTGGAGCTCCCTATGGGGCCACGAAACGTGTGGAGTGTGCCGAATTGGTGTAGGTGACGCATGCGGGCGGTGGCACTGGGGCCTTCGGTGGAGCTCCCTATGGGGCCACGAAATTGGGTGTAGGTGACGCATGCGGGCGGTGGCACTGGGGCCTTCGGTGGAGCTCCCTGTGGGGCCACGACACGTGTGAGGGGTGTGCCGATTTGGGTGTAGGTGACGCATGCGGGCGGTGGCACAGGGGCCTTCGGTGGAGCTCCATGTGGGGCCACGAAACGTGTGAGGGGTGTGCCGAATTGGGTGTAGGTGACGCATGCGGGCGGTGGCACAGGGGCCTTCGGTGGAGCTCCATGTGGGGCCACGAAACGTGTGAGGGATGATGACAGCGATGCTGGCGATGATTATGATGACAGCGATGATGATGATGATGATGATGATGATGGTGATGATGATGATGATGATGACGATGATGATGATGACGATGACGATGATGGTGATGATGATGGTCGTGAGGCTTATGACGATAATAGTGATGACGGTGATGATGACGACGATGATAGTGATGATGACGACGATGGTGATGATGACGACCATGATGGTGCTGATGATGATGACGATGACGATGACGATGATGATGGCGATGACGATGATGATGATGATGATGATGATGATGATGATGATGATGATGATGATGATGATGAGAGGGAGGAGGGAGGAGGGGGGAGGAGGAGGGGGCAGCGGGAGGAAGGAAGGAAGGAGACGCGGGGCATTGTCTCTTCAAAACGAGGACCCAACACCACAGGATGGTTGGGAATGATGACAACGGTGGCGGGGACGAGGAAAACGACGACGAATGATTACTCATCCTTTCGTCGTCTGCATCCTGCTCTTTTTCCTCCTCCTCCTCCTCCTCCTCCTCCTCCTCCTCCTCCTCCTGCTGCTCCTGCTGCTGCTGCTGCTGCTGCTGCTTCTCCTCCTCCTCCTCCTGCTCCTGCTCCTCCACCTCCTCCTGCTGCTGCTCCTGTTCCTCCTCCTCCTTCTCCTCCTCCTCCTCCCATTCCTCCTCTTCCAACCCCCGAGAGGAAAGGGACGGAGAGAAAAAGGAGGAGGAGGAACAAGCGTTACAAGAGGTGTTCCTGTGTCTGCGGGCTGCGCCTGGGTGGCGCTTGGGCCCAGTTCTGAAGAGGCCGAGACCCGATGGCCAATTACGCCACCAGTCGAACCCAAAAGAGGCCCCACGACACCCCAATGCTACATCCCAAGAGACGTCCGAGAGGCCTACCAAAAGGCGTCCAAGAGGCCTCCCAAGAGACGTCCGAGAAGCTTCCCAACGTTCAAGATGCCTCTGACCTATAACCCAGGCGCGATGGCGAAATGGACCGAGGACCGCTTGAGAGAGAGAGAGAGAGAAAGAGAGAGAGAGAGAGAGATTCGGAAAGGGAGAGAGAAAGAGGATACAGTACATATGAAATCTGATGGAGAGAGAATGAAACAGAAAGGCCCACGGAAAGGCAGATGAACGGAGAGAGCCAAAACAGAGACGTGGCATGGCACTGTGGACTTGCTCGCTCGTGGCTCCGCGGTCGGCGTGAACTGGGCTGGGACCTTGTAGGTCTCGGAGGACAGCGACCGCTTGTCCTTGTCATGCGGACGCCGCGGATTGAGCACCAAGTCCTGCCGGAAGGGGTGCCGTCCGAGCGGGCGTTGGGCGTTGCTTAATGGGGGGGTCACAAATGGGGGGGTCAGAAACGGTCCCCTTTCGTGCCCCTTTCGGGCCCCTCCGGACCCCCAGGGGGCTCGTTTAGGTACCGTTTGGGTACCTTTTCGGACCACCCTCGCCACCCCCCCATTTATGACCCCCCCATTACGCAACGCCCAAGCCGGGCGGAGGGGAGCACGGAGACCGGCAGGCCCCCGCGCCCCCGACAAGAGGACCGGCCCCGCGCGAGCGAGCGAGCGAACACGACGGCGGCAGACGAGCGCCCGGCCCTCGCCGAGACCAGGCGGGTGAGGCCATGTTGCCTCTGGATTGCGGTAAGTGCTGCGGCAGTGCCGCCGCGAAGCTGGTCTGGATTGCGCGGGCAGTGCTGAGAGCTGGCGTGGGAGAGAAGAGGAGGGGGTGGGTTGGAGTTGGATATGGAGGCTTGGAAGTGACAGCCAACACCACAAGGGGTGATTTTGGCTCTGGTCGTACTACTTATTTTGCCCAGGAGACCCAAACGAAATCGGGATGTTTTTCGCTCGGTGGAGGCAACCGCCGATATTGGTGTTGGCACCGACCCCATAGGCCTCCGAAAGGACCTGGAAGGCCACAAGGGGCGCTAGGCTGCGGACCAATCGACGTGGCCCCGAAAGGCCGCTGGGACGAGGCCTTCGCGGCCAGTCGTCCCACAGCGCCTTGGCAGTTCCGAAGCAGAGCTTCCTCGATACGTGGTCACCGCCTCGACAATTTCCAGGCAGCGCTTCCTAAGCTCGCTCGCAGGTCCTAACTAACGCCCCCTGAGCCAACGCCGCGGGCGGGGCCGAGGCGGTTCCGACGCAACGTTTTTTTCGGCTCGCGCGCAGCTCATAGGGGGGCGTTTCTTAGGCTCGCGCGCTGGGATCAGTTCAGAAAACCATCCCACAAGGGCGCCCGAGGGGGGCACAGCGCGACCGCTTACTGAAACGTGTTTCGAGCTGGCAATGGCGTCCAATGTGTGAGCATGTGCGCGTGCAGACGGCCGTGGGTGAGCGCATGCATGTGCACAATAATGCGCGCACGCATGTCCAAATAACGACATAAGGAACGGGTGTAAGGGAAAAAAACATGAGGGATGATGATGCAGGAGGGGGAGGAGAAAAAGGAAGAGGACACACAACATCGGGAAACGCAGGTGGAGTGCGAAGGAATGGGCGAGTGGACGGCCAGACCGAATCCAAATACGTACTTGCCAGGGCACGTCTGTGACAGAAACCCAAATGGTCCAGCAACTGCTGTCACAACTATTATATATATATATATATATATATATATATCCGCCACCGTGCCCAGAGGCACGAAGTGGAGTGTCCTCAGGTCCCTCCGGGTCAATATTAGATGTCAGCCAACGCGAACCCCACAACATGTTTCTCGGAATCTATGGTGTACATCGTATGCGGGCAAATACACATAGCGTGTGCAACGCATGTGGTGCAATCTCTGTTGTGCCATCGATGTTGTGTCAAATACGCGGTGCAATATATGTGGCGCGACTGATTTTTACAAACGAATTCACACATTCCATGCTGTGGCAAACGCCCCACCCACCCTCCCGCAACTTGGTTTGCAAAACCCACGCGGTGGCGATTGCGATGCATGCTTGGCGTTGGCTGGTGCATCTCTGCAGCCGCGCCAACCCAAGCACGCGCGCGCGGCGGCCAGCTAGTTTGGCGCCACCGACGCGGTCGCGGTGTCGCTGATCGCTGGGCACAACCCAGCGGGCACTTCAATGCGAGTCGGCGACTTGGGCGGGCGCGGTATAATGGCAACGTCGACAAGGGTAGACACGATGATGATAATAGCGATGCTGGTGACGATGTTGACAACGATGACGGCGCGGCCAATGCGGGCGCCAGTGCCGATCAGCCCGACGACGACGACGGCGCCCTCGCGCCGGCGATGGAGGTTTTGGAACGAATCCCACCAGCCCTTTAGGGCGTAGGTGGTCTAGGGAGTTTCCTCTGCCAACCCCCCTTCTTTCCCTTCGGGGAGGGGTTTACCCCTCCCCTTACCCCTCCCCACTGACCTGGACGAGGCGTCTCGCGAGGTGTCAGGGCGCCCAAGATGGCTCAAGACGGCTCCAAGAGCGAAAAAGCGAGAAAGCACAAAACATTGATTCTACCTAGGTTTTGGAAGGATTTTGGCCTCTTGGGGGGGCCCAAGAGGCGCTTCGAGGCACTCTAGAGGGGCAACCCTAATTGGAGCTCCCCCCTTCTTTGATAGATCTCCTCCAAGATGGCCCCAAGAGCGCCCCGAAGGCTCCCAAGAGCGCCCCAAGAGCGCCCCAAGAGGGCCCCGAGAGACCCCAAGAGGCCCCCAAGAAGCCTCTAAGAGGCTGCCAAGAGACCCCCAAGAGGCCCCAAGAGAGTTCAAGATGGCCCAAGACGGCTCCAAGAGCGAAAAGGCGAGAAAGCAACAAACAATGATTTTACCTAGGTTTTGGAAGGATTTTGGCCTCTTGGGGGGCCCAAGAGGCGACTCGAGGCACTCTAGAGGGGCAACGCTAATTGGGGACCCCCTCTTCTTTGATCGATCTCCTCCAAGATGGCCCCAAGAGCGCCCCGAAGGCTCCCAAAGCGCCCCAAGAGCGCCCCAAGAAGAGCGCCCCAAGAGGCCCCAAGAGGCGCCCAAGAGGCCTCCAAAAGGCTCCCAAGAGACCTCCAAGAGGCCCAAGAGGCTCCCAAGACGGCCCAAGACGGCTCCAAGAGCGAAAAGGCGAGAAAACACAAAACATTGATTTTACCTAGGTTTTGGAAAGATTTTGGCCTCAAGAAGGGCCCAAGAAGCGATTCGAGGCACTCTAGAGGGGCAGCGCTAATTGAGGACCCCCCCTTCTTTGATAGATCTCCTCCAAGATGGCCCCAAGAGCGCCTCGAAGGCTCCCAAGAGCGCCCCAAGAGCGCCCCAAGAGAGCCCCAAGAGGCCCCAAGAGGCCCCCAAGAGGCCTCCAAGAGGCCCCCAAGAGACCCCCAAGAGGCCACAAGAGGCTCCCCGAGATACGCAAGAGGCCCCCGGGACCGCCAAGAGGCTCCAAAGACGGCCCAAGAGGCCCCCAAGCTCGCCATTGTCCTCCTCCTCCTCCTCTTTTTCTTCCTCCTCCCTCCTCCCCCTCCCCCTCCTCCTCCTCCTCCTCCTCCTCCTTTTCCTTTTCCTCCTTCTCGTCCCCCTCGTCCTCGCAGTCCTCCATCTCCTCCTCCTTATCTTCCTCCTCCTCCTCCTCCTGCTCCTCCTCCTGCTCCTCCTCTTCCTCCTCCTACTCCGACGACGACGGCTCCTCCTACATCCTCCCCCTCTTGGGGCATATGGCGGCTCACCCCGCCCTTTGTTCTTCTGCATGCTCCCCCGCTCGCCCAAAGAGGGGCCCCAAGAGGCTCCAAGAAGCGCCCCAGAGGCTTCCAGGATGATCCCAAGAGACTCCCAAGATGCCCCCAAGAGGCTCCCAAGAGACCCCCAAGAGGCCCCAAGATGCTCCCAAGATGGCCCAAGACGGCTCCAAGAGCGAAAAGGCGAGAAAGCAAAAAACATTGATTTTCCTTAGGTTTTGGACGGATTTTGGCCTCTAGGAAGGCCCAAGAGGCGATTCGAGGCACTCTAGAGGGGCAACGCTAATAAGCAACCCCCCCTTCTTGATAGATCTCCTCCAAGATGGCCCCAAGAGCGCCCCGAAGGCTCCCAAGAGCGCCCCAAGAGCGCCCCAAGAGGGCCCCAAGAGGCCCCAAGAGGCCCCCAAGAGGCCTCCAAGAGGCCTCCAAGAGACTCCCAAAAGGACACAAGAAGCTCCCCGAGATACGCAAGAGGCCCCCGGGACCGCCAAGAGGCCCCAAAGACGGCCCAAGAGGCCCCCAAGCTCGCCATTGTCCTCCTCCTCCTCCTCTTTTTCTCCCTCCTCCCTCCTCCCCCTCCCCCTCCTCCTCCTCCTCCTTCTCCTCCTCCTCCTCCTCCTTCTCGTCCTCCTCGTCCTCGCCCTCCTCCATCTCCTCCTCCTCATCTTCCTCCTCCTCCTCCTCCTCTTCCTCCTCCCCCTCCTCCTCCTGCTCCTCCTCCTGCTCCTCGTCTTCCTCCTCCTACTCCGACGACGACGACTCCTCCTACATCCTCCCCCTCTTGGAACGTATGGCGGCTTAACCCGCTCTTTGTACTTCTGCATGCTCCCCCGCTTCCCTCATCACCTCCACTCCTCTGGGGCTCATTTCTGGACGGGCTGGTGGGGATACGCGAAGCGTCTAGAAATTCGACATGCGCGCGCGGCCGGCCGACTCGCGAAAGTGGCCCGCATGGTCTCATTTGACACGGATCGCGCCCCCCCCCCCCCCCCCCAACACGCGCGCAAGGGCGCGCGAGTGGTTTCGACATGCGGCGCCAGAGGCCCGTTTGGCAGAATTCCATGACAATGTCAAGACCGCAAAAGCGCGGGAGCGCGAGCACAATATTTGAACTCCATGACCTACGAATGTTTTAAGAAATCGCAAGAGCGCGAGCGCAATCTTTTTTTTTGAAAGGTGATGTTGCCAAACCGTATGCTGACACTCAGTTTTGGAATCGCTGCGAGATCGAAGGTTGTTGGCCGATTTCGGCATGCGTGCGCGGCGACGCGCGAGCGCGCAATTCGCCGCGTCTTCTGCAAACAAATATCGCGACGGAGCGCGCGCAAGGGCGCTCGAGCGATTTCGACACGCTCGCGCGCGAAACCGATTTGGTGGTACGCTCTGAAAACATTTGTTTCTATAAGAGGAAAAAATATGTCTGGATTCCCGGGAGCGCGCTCGCAAGCTTTTTGGGGGAATCCGCGCTGCAAAACCTCATGCGTTTTTATGTAATTTGGACACTCGACCCTTGCGGAACCAGCGGTTTTTGAAGGATTCCGGCACGCGCGCGCGACGACGCGCGCGCGCGCCGCCCAATCTATCGCTGCAAGGGGTTCTTGAAAACTGGTGAT